TGACGAACTCAAGGGCATGGGAATCTCCAAAGGAAGACTCCACAACAGCAATGGATGGTGCTTTCCCGTGGCCGTAAGAGCAACCTCAGCACACTCATCGGACGGCGGAGGTTATGACGTCACCATCAACATCGACCACATTGGATCGAGAATGACCAACGACATGGCCCTATCCATGGTGACTGCATTTCACGCTACCAATCTTGGAGCGCTGACTTCAATCATGCGACGAGGGCTAGTGCCAGGAGGTCTCGGTTCATCGGGAAGGGATTCTATCCACTTCACATGTTTTCCGCCATGGGCCTGGGAGCAGGGCTACAAGGGAAAACCTTGGCTGGGTCGTAAGGTCGCATTGAGTGATCGCCCAGTGGTTCTCTACATTCCGGTGTGGAAGCTGCAGGAGTACGGACTTCCCATCTCAGCGACTGGCTCTCTATTGGTCGAGAACGTCGTTCCCTTCGATGAGGTTAAAGGGGCATGGTTGCAATGCGACAATGCGGAACCCGGAAAGCCTGAGGAGATCGAATGGATCAGGTTACTCAATAGGGAACCCGACCCTGGAAGCTACCTTGTTCTGGAGTCCAAATACGGAAACCCGATCATGATCCCACGCTTTCAGAAGCTTGAGAGTTTAGCGGTTGAAGTTCAGGACGATACCTACTCCGAGGACGACGCCAAAATCTTAAAACTATTGGGTATGATCGAGGAGAGTGGCGTACACCCAGAATATGATAGCACCGAGTGGCAGGAAATCTTTGAGGAGATCGTGTACCGCCGGGCAATGAAGGACTATGACTCAAGGCCGTGTCCTAACTGTCTTGGCGAAGTCGATGTGCGGTTGACAGTATGTCCGCACTGCGTAGCGGTTTTGATCGCGAATGGGAAACTCACACATGTGGTACCCAAGGAGACAAGAGACCGCAATCAACGATCACCTCCGAAGGATGTCCCAGCCAGTTCTTCTGGCGAAGCAACTTCTGCTGCAGGTGCAAACATCGACGAAGTCATCAAGAAGGCACGCAAGACAGCCGAAGAGGTCATTGACGTCGAGGAATCCGAAGGAGAGGAAGAGGAGGAAGTTCCTATCATTTTGAAGGAACGACCGGATGAAGCTGAAGGCGAACCCGAATATCGGGAGGTCCCTCAAGATGGATACGGGAATGAACTTCCGCAGCCTTTCCCCTTCGCGATTGACGAACTGCCACAAGAAGCTGCGATCCCCATCGACCACAACTTTGCAGTCACACAGCAGTTCGATCTGAGGTTGATGAAGTTGATCAAGAGCTTGGCCAACGCGACGTTCGACATCAACTGCTTTGAGAGTCGTGAAGACGTACTGCGAAGGTTCGACGATGGACAGCGGCATGACACTCCATACAATAGATGGCCAATAGTACCGAATGATCCGGATACTGGGTTTCCAAGACGTCTCCAGAGAGCCGAGGTCGTAAGCATGAGCAAATGGACCAACGACACGTTTGCAACAGAAGCGTGGCAGATCTATGAGTTCCACGCCCACGTTGTTCACCCGATGATGATCACTGCAATCCGCTGCGGGCTTAGCCACAAGTACCTCAAGGAGGTCGGCAGCACTCGGCGTAACATGAGTGATCCAAAGGCTCGGAGGTCTGAGACCCAGGAAGAGATCGTCGAGAAGCTGGCATTCATCTCAAACTTCATCAGACGCTTGATCAGGAAGACCTTCGGAGCGAGCCGATATAGCTACTACCAGAAACCAGATGACGAAAGTGCCGCTCCATACAAATTCATTGACATTAGCCCCGCCATCAAGTCGGAGCGGAAGAATGTCACGAAGGAGATCCTCGTTGCATGCCGCTACTATGGCATAGAGGTATCCGATATTCAAGCGCAGAAATTGAAGCTCTTCGAGAACCAGATCCGGGCGGGAAATCCGAGGAACGTCGAGCTCATCAAGGACTACATTGGCTTTGTCGGCGCTGACTACATGCGGCAACTCACGAATGGTTGAGCGTTGGGGTCATACCGACATGCCACTTTTGGTACTTCACGTACTGAGGGATCTTGGGTAATTCATGATGACCATTTTGGCATCATGGGAGTGAGATAGGATTGTGTTTCACACCGTTGGTAATCGCATGATACCATCGGTAGGTGCACGTTTTCCGTTTGTAGCTCCATTACCTGTTTGATCCAGCCTTCAGGCAAATGCAAGATCTTTTGCCCATTCAATTCAATAGGATATACTGGTTGACCTCCAATACACTTTTGAGAACATGATTCGTTCTCCGGTTTTTACATCCACTCATCTCCCTTCCCCGTCGAAGCACGGATGTGGGGGGTGTCAATAGGGATGAGGTCCCAGTATAATTGCTATATAGGTACTTGCCATATACTTTTGGCTCAAGTGCCCAACCAGGTAAAAAGGAGCTTTAGCGCGCGAGCTTCATGTTGAACTAAGGGCTAGAACGGGGCCAGGGCACACCTTTCCATCCGTTCGCAGTCAGCGTGATGAAACAGGTATCTTCGGGGAAAAAAACTTCCTGTTGTGGGAGTTCTTTGGGTTCAGGGTGGAAGATCTTGACTCAAGGCAACTGTTCGATTAGATGCTATCCTGGGTACTTCGCAACCCGCTGAATACTTTCATCTGAAGCCCTCCAGCTGCCTCGTTACACCTTTCATGTTGCCGCTCGAGACTCAGCGGCCCAAGGTCGTTTTTAGGCCAAGAGACGAGAAGTCTGGGCCAATCCGCAGGGTTGCAAACAAGTAGCATCGCCGATGCGGCGATGCAGACTGACTATCGGTAGGTCAGAGCATTTGACTGTCTCATGTTGCGCATATTGCTGTGATGGGTGGTCTTTCGTACAGCCCGTTTGCTGGACAGTTTGTGGACTGGAGAGATTTGTGCATCGTGAACGACGATGCCTCACCTTTGGATCAAGGCACGTCCTGTTTTCCAGACACCTTTGGTCTGCCCGTCGAACGGAAGAATGCCTTAAGGGGTCGAAATGGGCGCAGGGTCGAACGTCTAGAAGGCGCGCCGGAATCACCGGAATCACTCGAACGTTGCAAAGTGATGTAGGTGTTTTGTAGGTGGTTTGCCACAGAACACTTCTGTGCATGTTTGATTACAAAGGGGATGGCCCAGCCCTTGCGCTTGCAGTGCTATGGAGTTTGTGCCTTTGCACGGCACGGTGAGCACTGTGAAAGAAGACAGAGGCTTTGGTTTTATAGAAGTCGAAGGCGCGCTATTGCGCTGTTGTCGAAGGGGGCGGTCGAAAACGTCGACCGTGGAGTACCACGCTCCTCGTGGTCGAAGCCTCGCCACGGGGCATGGGAGGACGTCGCGTCTTCTCCGCTCCCGTCTGTTGGGAACGATTCCATGGATCGCACCGTCGATCGCACCGGCGGTTCTATCTTCACAAGTTAAGGGTCTCTCTTCCGTCGTTCATCCCAGTTCGAACTGGCGGCGAGTGGAACGTGGTGGTTCGGATGGCCCGTTTGATCGTGGTTCTTTCGAAACACCCGGTTTGGACGCTGCGTCCAGACTGGACCGGCCAAAGAGTTGACCGGCCAACTTCATCTGACTGGGACGACTGTCAGTCGCTGTTCTCTTGGTTTTAAATCGAACTCTTTCCACAAACCCTAACAGACTTAACAAACTTAAGTCTGGTTCGGTGCTTCCCAGACTTCAGACTCACCGTCCCAGGCCGTTCGCGGGATCTCTACTTTAAGCTGCACTCGCTCGTGCATGGCCTCGTTCCCGCACGAGGGGATCGCGTGAAGGTCTTCACCCGAGCGGATCGAAAAGGCGGGACCTCGGTCGGTTTAACTAGGAGCAAAGGAAGCTACTAGGAACAAGTGCATCGCTTCTAGTAACAAGTGCCTTACTAGTAGTAACAATGTTTGCTAGTAGAAACAAGACTTCGTAATTAGAATTAGAATTCAATTGGAATCAAATTGCGCTTCTGTTTTTGGGAAGATGCCGGATGGCGGATAGAGTAGGAGCAAGAACGCTACGAACGGGGCTCCTGGCCGTACTACTAGGAGCAAGTAGCTACTAGTAACGAAAAGCTACTAGGGGCTCCTGGCATCGCTACTGGGAGCAAGAACGCTACTAGGGGCTCCTGGCCTAGTAGGATATATAGCTAAGAAGTGATGCCCAAAGTTGTGTAGTATCAATGGTGGATGACAAGAACGGTCGTTTTCGACTGGTACCTCGTGCATCTTCAACGTGGAACGACTGGTACCTGAACGCCTCAGCACCCGGTGGCTGCTCCGGTGCGTGTCTCCGATCTTGCGGCGCTTGAACCACTGTCTCATGCGACGAAAAGAAAGAACGTGTTAAGAGAAATGGCAACGGCTCCCCTCGTGTTCTGATTTGTTTCAAACTCTTGTTTCGTGCAGAGAAAAAATAACACTTTGCTCCGCTCTTTTCCCGGGTCCTCCGCTCGTGTCGATCTTCGCGTCGATCCACTGAAGTTCCGGTCGATTTGAAACAATATATAAATTCCTACTAGTAGCGATGCGCTTGTTCCTAGTAGTTTCTTGTTACTACTAGTAAGGCACTTGTTACTACTAGCGTGGCACCTGTTACTAATTAGATTTTATAACTCAATTCCCTTCGTAGCGTGGCACCTGTTCCTAAGGCCAGCCTCGCCCCCTCCGGACTCGTCGCGTCGGCCCGGTCGCTCCAGACTCGTTCGTCGCGTGGCGATGCCCGTCGAGGCGACGAATACGTCTACCGCGTGGAGCTGACGCAGTTGGCGTCGAAACGGTCCCGATGGCGAGAAGCCCTACGGATCATGGACGACTGGAGGCGGTGCCTGAGGGTGCGTGCGTTTGCCCAGAGGTTGAAGTCATTTGTTGGGGTATCACCCGTGTTTCTTAGAACCACTGGTGTTTGTTTACTACGTACTCGTTCACATCTTCGTTCGCTTCACCATTCAGCCGGGTTTCCAGAGAAGGGTCCCTTCTCAGGAGGGAAGTCGGTCGATTTGACCGTGAGGCAAAAGATGCAGTCTGACTCCACCAGTCAAAATGCATTGCTGGAGGCAGGGCAGCCCCTGCGACCGGTACAGCCAGAGTCGAGTCAGTCTGGGTTGGTTCAGTTTAGACAGGGTTCTTTTCCATCTGTAAGTGGAGGTTTGCCATAAGTGGAAGAAAACGTGGAAAGTGCCAGATTTGAGAACTTCCTTCAAGCTGTGGAATACAGTTTCAAGGTTCGATTTCGGGATACAGAACCAAGCAGAGGACAGCAAGTAGTTCTTACTGTTTTCCTTATGATTGATGTTGTTTTCAATCACTTAAGGCAATCAGTATCTGAACTGATTGGATTCACGCTGTTTGGAAGCACTCAGCAGGTGTTTATTCAAGAGGAAACTTCGGGGATGCATACTATCATGCAGAGTCCAAGGTACTGCTAATCTTTAGTACCATCTAGGTACGTACCGCAATAATTGAGTGAATCTTTCATCACCACCTTGACCATCCTTGACCTGTTTCAACGCGCATCGCACACACCAGCTCCGCTCGTTGGCTCGGACCCAAACAGAGCCTACCAGGCCAGCTCCTGCCTGGCCGTGTGGCGTGCGGTCTCGGAGCTCTTGACCAAAGCGATGCATCCGCAGTGGGATGCCTTGGCGCCCGAGCAGCCCGAGGCGACGGAGAAAGAGGAGGTGAAGGGGGCAGATGCGATGGAGGCACGTGGAGTGGGCCATTGGCACTCCTAGTAGCGTCCTTGCTACGAACGGAGCAAAGGGCATCGCTACTAGGAGCTAGGACGCCACTAGGGGCTCCTGGCCTTACTACTAGGAGCCTCTAGTAGCGTCCTTGCTGGGGACGAGGAAGAGGAGGCAGAGTTGGATCTTTTCTGGGAGGCCATCGATAGTAGGTTGGAGGCCGTCGCTCTCAGCGTTTAGGGTTCAGGGTAGTAGGGGAGGGGAGAGTTGGAGACTTTTGGAAGGAGGGGGGCCCTCATCAAGAGCACAGAGATGTGTAGAACAGAACCAAAGAAAAACAGGTTACTCCGCTACTAGTTGGAAAGGCGCGTGCAGGTTTTGGCAAGAAGATGTAAGAAGGTTTGGGCTACGATTCCTCACTATTGTAGCAACACCTATATAGTTTAGACCCATGTCGACCTTTGCCATGATCAGGTTGACGCAACGGCAACCCCCTCAACATCACGAAGTGTGAAGCGCCACGAACTGGTTTTCAGGAAGTTTGCCGAGGAGGTGATGCGGCAGAATGTCACTTGACAGACTAAGTTGGAGAAAAAGGTATGGGATGGTCTCCAACCTACTTGCGATGACCTCAAACCTAAGAGCGATGGCCTCCAACTAGTGATGGTCTCCCATCTGCATAGCTGGCATAGCTGAGAGCTGACAGCTCACACAATTCAGGGCCCCGCCATGCATCTTCGAGTCAAGCAGGTTTCGAAAGTCCAGACCACTTCGATTCCGATTTTCATGGATGGTTGATTTTCTCTATAGAGCCTTTGCAAAAGCGCAACTGCAAAGACATGGGGAGGAAGAAGCATGTCTTGCAAAGACATGGTGGTCCACCAGCGCTCCAAGCGCTCCACCGGTGTGTCGGACCGATGGTCGGTGTGTCGTGTCCGGCGACGTTGGGCCGGCGGCGTTCAGGAAGATTTGCGACCTCGTCTTCCATCCAAGCGATGCCAGATGTCCGTGGGCCAGGTGTTTTTTACTCACGGTCACTTGGTTGGAGGTCATCGCTAGTCGGTTGGGAGGCCATGCCCAGGTCGATTTGACCCCATGGTTACTGCTTTGCTTGAGCCACGACGGACGTGCTGTTGTTTTTCGGTGTGGTCCTTGGGGCTGTCTGGGGCGGAAGAACATGTTCCTGCGAATCCAAATGTTCACTGTGAAGGCGGGGAAACACCTGGCACTTCTCATGTCGCAGGTCGCACCTGCCTTGTCACTTTCATGAAAGACCTGGGGGGTTGAAGCAGGTTGAAGCTATTAGTAACAAGTGCATCGCTACTAGTAACAAGTGCCTTACTAGTAGTAACAATGTTTGCTACTAGGTTTGCTACTAGTAACAAGTGCATCGCTACAGGTTGAAGCAGGTTGAAGCCCCCAAATCCCTGAGGCCCTGGCCGTTCCCACTGACCGGTTCCCACTGCCCGGTTCCCGAGGCGAGGTGAGCCCGCAGTTCCGCAACGGAGACACCTTGACGCAGCTGGTCTCTGACCTGCGGCGCGGCCGTGTGCTGCCCTCGCAGGACGACCGCTTGCGGCTGGAGGCAGGGTCCCTACTGTAGTAGCTTCTTTGCTACTAGTAGTAAGGCCAGGAGCCCCTAGTAGC